CAGCTGAATAAAATCTTTGGAACCCTAATTTGACATCCAGCCTCTTTATTAATTATCTGGACCCAGCAGTAGGGACAACTGTCCAACCCAGCACAATAAGACCACTTCCTGGTGGCTGAGGGCACAGGCCTGTGGGTGACGGAGGCTTGCGGCTCCTGGTCCCAGGTGCTCAGGGCAGTGCTGCCCTCCGATGTTCCTCTTCTCTCCCGGCAAGCCGACCGTGTGGCCCCGAGCCCATCAGAGGTTTTCTCTCCGAGTCCCGACTATAGCTGGATCATGTCACTGCCCCACACGAATGGTGACTGAACATGGTCAGGTGCTGGACACCCTGCACAGAAGGCCGCCTTGCCCCTCGCGGGCCAGTGCTAAGTGTTGCCATTACAGGCGGCCGGAGCCCCCGTCGGCCTCACTCAGAGACTGCCATCCTCACAGGGTGCTTCCGGGTTGCTGGGAAGGAGGTCTGCTGTCTTCCCGGTGGTGCGGACTTGTGGCGGTAACACGCTCTGACAGTGCTCTGAGGATTGGAGGACAGCTGGACTGGGTTCAAGTTCCATGGCAGCCTGAATGCAGTGGTGAGAGGCGCTGAGCTGAGGGGGCCGATGGTGCTCGAGGTGGGGCCTCAAGCGAGCTTGTGCCTCTGGACCTGCCCTGAACAGCTCTAAACTGCCCATAGTCATCACGTCCAGGTGTGGCCAGGGAGTGGCTGAGGTCAGAGGTGGCGAAGGAGAGGGTGAGAGGTGACAGCTTGACTTCTGAGGTCCTTTTCAAAGGCAAGACCAGACTTGCGAGCAGGGAAGGGACTCCAGGGATCCTTGAAAATCTTTGTTACCTTCGTCATTTGCGTGGGACCATCCTGGGTGAAGCGTGGCAGCCTGACCTGCGAACTCTGCTCAGGGCCACCGGGGGCACTTTCCGGGTTAAGGTTAGGGTTGTCCCGGGAGATGAGCTGGAGGAGGGTGGGCCTGCCCGTGCCCAGGGTCCCAGCTGAGCTCAGGGTCTCGTGGGACATCCCCAGGCTCCGTCTCATCTGCAGGGGCCCCTGAAGTGTGCTCTGGGAAACCCTGCCTGAGAGCTGTTACTCAGGGTCAGAGGGGCCCGAAGGAGAGGGGTGCTCCAGGGAACCTCTGGGAGAAAACTCCCACCCGAGCAGGCAGCCGTCGCCTGGGGCTGGATTCGGGGCTGAAGGACGGGGCTGGCGGTGTCCACAGGGCAGGAACAAAATTCTTGCTGTGTTTCTGGGTTATTTTATTGCACTAGTTAGCGGCAACAAAATACTGTCATGACACTTCCTATAAATAGAATGACATGGAAGCACTTCTAAGAGTCAGGCCTAAGTAACCTGCAACTACAGACATTGCCTGAGAAGTATCACCTGAGCGGTTTCCTTTGCGCTGCTGCTGACCACTTAACAGCGACAGGACTAAAGGAGAAAACGGAAGCCATTTCAGTAGAGCGGGGAACATCGTGCGGTGGGTGGGGTCTTCAGAAGCAGCGTCGCTGGACGGTGAGGCAGCTCGAGCCGCTCGCGCCAACTCCCTGACATGGGGGCCCCCTGCACTGTGATCCCAAGGCCTAGAGAAGAGGTCCTGCTGGAAACTAATGTCAGGTTGGGAGGATACGGGAACGCAAGGCATGATGGGATGAGGGTGAAAGTCTGGATGGAAATTGGGGTGTGGACAGACTTTATGTGAAGTGAAGGGTTTCATCCTTAGTCCTTGACTGGAGTGGGGATATTGTGTGGGGAAGTGCTTCAGCCACCTGATGGGGTAGAGCAGAAGGCAAGGAAGCCTGCCTCCAGCCAGCGTTGATGGGGCGTGCTAAATGGGGACAGGTAAGATGGCCCGAGCCCCAGAGGTTATGACCTTGAAATGGTATAGAACATCAATGGACACAGAGATTAGCACTTTAATGAATGTGTGTTAGACACACGGTGTGGGGATGGACAAATGCTCTGCACAACGGCCCTGTGTGGAGTGGCCGGCCTCACGGCAAAGCCAGGACTGGACATGAAAGTTTCCGTTTGAGACAGGGCGCTGTTGACCTACCGTTCAAATAACTGAAGGACGTACCGTAATCCTGAAACCTGAAATCCCCGCGAAGTCCTTCGTTATGCCAGAGAAGTTCGCCAGTGTACAGAGGAGGTCCAGGCTGAAATGGAAAATGTTTGTATTTATGTATTTAGCTCTGCAGTGCATGCTAGCAGGGGAAGCTCCGAGGCACTCGCGCCCCTGGGTGAACAGGGCGCCTCTTGCCCATGCACTGACTTTGGAACCACGCGGAGTTGCTGGGTCCCCCTTCCAGGTAGACAGCACGCTGTGCACAGATAGCTCTCCGTTGTCTGACTAAGGGCCGCAGTCTGGGGTGCTGATTTCCCAGCAGCTGGACGAGTCCCTTGTGCTGCTGTGGTGTGCGCTGTACTGGGCGACGGACAACGTGGTGGCGGGAACTGGACAGGGCGTGCAGGGCCCGCACTCTGAACAAGCTCTATTGGGCCCTTGGCACCGCCAACACCCGGGGCCATGCCCCTGCCTCATGCGAGGGGAGGCTGTCCTGTGGGTGCACCTCAGCCCCAGACTGGTGCCCATCCTGACTACGAGCTGCCGCCCTGCCGGCCCGGCCCGAGCGCGCCAGCCATGCCCTGGCTCTCCCAGCGACAGTTCATGGGTGCCTCTACCTGTGAGGAGGTGCAGAAGGGCGTGTGTGCCCAGTGCAAAATGCGAACGCGGCGATGCGTTGGTGGTATAGTGGTGAGCATAGCTGCCTTCCAAAATGGGAACACAGCCCTTGCGCAAGGCAGGAAAAGGGGGCTGTGATGGCACTAAAACAGAAAGAAAGCTTTTCCCTTAAAACAGCTCATTGCCGGTAAACAGAAAAAACATGATTGATGTGACATAGAATACAGTAAGTGCTACTTTATTCAAAAAAGATCTTGATTAATCATGTGATTTCCTGGCTCCCTTGTCTGCAAATTCGTTAATTAGGTCCTCATAATGTAAACTTTCAGCAACTTCATTTTCAGTAATCTAACTGAAAGCAACATCAGCCACTCTTGGCAAATGCAAGATTACAAATCATTTCGTCAAGTTTTAATTTCGAGAAGGATCTTTCTGCTAATGGAACCACTGCTGCAGCTGTCCAGAGTATTTTAGAGTTTGCAACAGCCTTGGGATCCTTTCCAATAAGTTATTTTGAAACGTTCTTGTAAATGTTAGTACATTTAGAGTTGATGGTTCTTGTGATTTTTTTCTAAAAAAGATTTAACTCTTCTTTCAAATCAGTTTTGTGTAAGTTTGAATTTAAATTGAGATGCAAATCTGTACAGTGTCATTTCACCATTCCCTCTGACATTTCCTGTAATCTGTGTGGAGATCATATAAGAATCTGATTCTTGATCTGCATACAGTTCAAAACACCCGTTTGTGCATTTTATCGCTGTATCTTCAATTACATGGAAAGATTGATTTTTAAGTTGTCTTCCCATGTTAGTAATTGGTTTACCAAAGCTTCATATGAAAATTGTGTTCTTGTCTGTGAAACACAGAGTTCCCTAAATTTAGTTTTTGTTTCCAAGCTCGTGGATTTTGCTTTATAACGTGGGAGTTTATCAAAACAGAGATTCTCAGCTCCTCGAATGATTCTAACTGCAATCTGCGCATGTTTGATTTTCTTGTACTAATTTACTGATAAAATCCACTGCCTGAGCTCCTGCAGTTTCTGTCCTGGGAGTAGTTGTGCAGAGGCCAACAGGACTTCCTATGGGGACAGGTATGCCGGCCGGCCTCCTAGCTGGGGGCCTGGTGCTGCCCCACGAGGAGCCCCTTTTTCTTTGCATGGTTACAGCACAACCTCTGCTGTCTCTGCTGCTGCTGCAGTGACCGTCCCCCCGGCTCCGCCCCGTTCTCTACAAACCCTCCTGCGAAGGGAACAGGTTGCCCCATCTTATCACCACCCCTGTGTGCGCACAGCTCTATTTCTAGAAGCCTCTGAGCAGCCCGGTTAGGCCCTCTGGAAGCCACACAGGGCTGGCTCTCAGGCCCTAACACAACGGTGTGGTGTCCCCTGCTCACCCCCTCGCAGGGTGGCCGCTCCAAGGAGGGGAGGAGGCTGGGGCTCAGACAGAGCAGCTGCACTGCCTGAAAGTGGGTTTCAGCCACAGGAAGTGTGGTGGGGAGTTCTTCTTTCTCTCGCCCACCCCTGGAGCTGGTGCAGGAAGACACCCTCCACACGGCACCCCCAGGGGAAGGCTTATAGGAGCTGTCCTTGGCTCCCCCTCTTGTCTTTCTAAGCCAGGGGGTAGGGGGACCTTGGGCCGAAGCCCCTGCCAGCCTGACTCTCTGTAGATGGGGCTCTAGGACCCCCAGCTGAGGGGACTTTGTCCTCTTGGGGTGGAAGATTTCAGGTCTGCTCTGATCTTTGGGGAGGAAACCGCTGAGGCACCTCCAGGCTGGTGGGGGTGGGGGGTG